AAGAAATCCATGCCTGTGTTGGACCTCAAAAAAAAAAAAAAAAAAAATATTTTGAAACCGATCAACTCTATTTTTATTGAAATTATGTATTTTACTTACGATAGTGTAAAAACTTAGCTCATTTAACATTTAAATATTTGAAATTAACCGTCACTTATGCAAATAATCTGTAAATAGTACCATAAAACTACACCTCTGAATTCAATACCCTTTTTATACAACCAATGCTATATTAGAATCTCGCTTCTCAAAAGTAAATTTCAATAAAGCCAAATTTCAATAAAATCGCTCCTCACAGCACGCTGTTGCACTATTACGATAAGATTTAAAGTAGGCTAGTACACCCAGAGCATGTTTAGTTATTGATTAATGTAAGGTTAGCTATTTATCCTAATATGTAAGCGATGTATTTGATTAAATAAAATGACATAGCCAAAATTGGAATTGGAAAATCGCTCCTCTTCCGAGTCCGAACTCCCCCGACTCTAATTCGTTTAGCGAACACTGAAGACTTAAGATCATTAACCACGCTTGCCCAATTTGATGGACTCAGATCATAAGCTGGAAGCAATTCCTAAACAAGGAGTAAAAAAAATAACCTTGTTGTTTCGGATGAAGCCGTACCAGCTCCGCTCACGAGTTTCTTTAATATTTAAATTATCCACGCCTGTGTTGGATCTCAAAAAATATTTTTAAAAAATCTACGTATTATGAAAGAAATGCGTTACTCACCAAATTTTCTTACGTAATATCCTGTCAATTATTGCATTCTTTTCCGGTGTATCGATGGCTATTAGTGTCATATTCCTTATGGCACATTCATCCCAGGCTTCAAACCAATTATACTGAAAATTATTATATGGGATTATTAAATTTCGATGTTAGTTGGAATATTTACTTTTTGGAAAATAATTCCCACCTTACCTTTTGTTCTTCTTCAATAAAAATTATACCAAAATCTTTCAGATTATGCCATTTGTCATAGATGGTGGCTTCCGTTATAAAAACTGCTAGGCAGATAAAACTTAGAGCTCCGAACAGATGCTTGAACATTTTTGTTTGAATTTTCAAATTGAAATGAAATTAATTCGTCATAGAGCCTTATTTATAATACAGAAGACTTGTGTGGGGTGATAAGCTTAAACAAATACGAATAAGTAAAAAATCCCCGATACAGTGTGGTACAAAATTAAACAAATTATTTTAAATTTGTATTTTTTTCATTCATAAAAATATAATTTTTAGACTTCGAAAAAAAATAGTATTAACAAATCTACGCCTATATATGGGTCATGAAAAAATATTTAAATAAATATGGGTCATGAAAAACTTTTTTAATTCAATTCAATATTTTATTATCATCTCTCAATTCATCGTGCTCTCAATTTTCACATATAAAACCAAATTTATAACTGCAATCGATGTCATTCCAATCACGATTGTGTGTTATATGGACACAGTGTTCCTTGTTGAAGAGATTATCGGGTGTGCCCACACGCCAATTGGTGAAATTAAATCCACGGCCAGTAGCCGTCCATACGAATTGACCTTCCGTACCCAAATCCGTACCGCCAATCCAAAGATAGGGACATAACTCTGAAATGGAAAAAAATGCAATTTTTTAAAAACAAATGGAATTGAAACATTTTTTTGGATACTTACTAAATTCCTTCTTTAAAATACCATCCAATATGACATTCTTTTCGGGACTAGTTATTGAAATTAGTGACATTTTGCGAATGGTGCATTCATGTTCGGCTTGGAACCAATTGTACTACAAAAAATATAAAAAAATGTGTTTAAAAACCATGCCAAAAAATATTTAAAAAAAATCCAAGCCAAGATATGGACCTCGAACCTTGAAAAAGTATTTTTTAAATCCACGACTATATATGACATTTAAAAACAATTTTTTTTATCCACACCTTTCTTGGTCTTTGAAAAATATATTTTTTAAATCGATTTGGAAAAAATCCTTACCTTCTGTTCACTGTCAATATAAATATTTTTAATTCCATTTAAATCGATGAGAAAATCCTTTTGAAGGGATTGAGTTAAAGGAATTATAAATTGCAGGAGCACGAAAACTACGATCTGAACAATCTGCGCCATTATTGAAAACTATTTCAATTCTTTGTCAAATCTTGAAGATTGTGAAAGAAATTAGATGATTAATAGAAACCACAATAAATGGATCATAGAAAGTCTTACATAAAATTATTGAGCCAAAAATAACTCAGTGTTAGTTTACAATAAGCCACAAATACAGTGGCTCAAAGATCTTGTCATTTTAAATTCAAAATAAAGACCACGTTCCAAGATGTTGTTTTCTACTATATCTTTCCATCTGAATCGTGGCCTTTCCCTTCTACGGGAGCCATCAGTAGGGTCATTTTTATATGCCTTTTGAGCTGGGACATCTTCATTCATCCGCACAACATGGCCTAGCCACCGTAGTCGCTGCAGCTCAATACGACTGATTATGTCGATGTCCGCGTATAAATTGTAAACCTCGTGGTTCATTCGACGCCGATATTCACCGTCAACGCAGATCGGCCCGTAGATCTTTCGGAGAATTTTTCTTTCAAACACCACAAGAGCTGCCTCATCTGGTTGCGCAAGTACCCATGCTTCTGATCCATATAATAACACGGGTAGTATCAGCGTCTTGTAAAGTGTGAGTTTGGTCTGGCGAGAGGTGGCCTTGTTTCTAAACTGCTTACTTAAACCATAGTAGCATCTGTTGGCCATCACAATCCTTCTCCGAATTTCAAAACTGATGTCATTCGTTTTGTTTATGGCGGTACCAAGGTATATAAAATCTTTGACTACCTCGAAGCTGTTGTTCTCAAGTTCCACAGTTGGTCCGAGTCTACTGGACGTCTTGCGCGTTGATACCATCAGCTTGGTCTTTTTGCCGTTTACTGCCAGACCCACTTTGGCAGGCTCCTTTTCAATTTGTTCAAAAGCGTTCGACCCATTATATCGATGTCATCGGCGTAGGCGAGTGACATGTGTTGTTTGGTGTACAGAGTGTCATGTCTGTTCACATTTGGATCTCGTATGACCTTTTCCAGTAGGATGTTAAAAAGATCACACGACAAACTGTCACCTTGTCTGAATCCTCGTTAGGTATTGAAGGGCTCCGATAGGTCCTTTCCTACTTTAACGGCTGACCTTGTGCCACTTAAAGTTATCCTGCATAGCCGTATTAATTTTGCAGGAATGCCGAACGCAGACATGGCTTTAAACCAGTGTTGGGCAAAATTAAATTGAGAGCAAGTGTGTGCGAGCGTAACTGAGAATTAACCATTAAAAACGACTGACGTAAAGAGAAAGAAAGAGATAATGTGTTTACCCATCGACCCTCAGTTACGGTAGCGTATATGGCCGAGCATGCCTGCTTTAAACACCTCTGAACGGATAGAGCTGTCGAATTCGGCTTTATAGTCGTCAAATATGTGGTATGTGTCGATGTGTTTTTCGTGGGTCTTTTCCAGGATTTGGCGCAAAGTGAAAATCTGGTCAATGTTGGATTTGTCAGGTCTGAAGCCGCATTGGTAAGGTCCAATAATGCCATTGACCATTGGCTTCAATCGTTCACACAGCACACCGGATAGAACTTTATATGCGATGGGAAAAAGGCTAATTCCTCAATAGTTGGCACATATCGTCTTGTCTCCTTTTTTGTGCACGGGACACATGATGCTGAGGTGCCCAATGATTGGAACCTTCCTGCATTTTTCTAGCCAAATTGTACTAATCAGCTGGTGCATGCTACTAACCACCATCTGACCACCAGTCTTGAATAGTTCGATTAGTATTCCATCGGCTCCTGCTGCTTTATTGTTCTTCAGCCGATTAATTGCTATTCTGACCTCATCTTGGCTACGTGGCATACATTCTATACCGTCATCTCTTATTGGTTCTGGGGTATCTTCTTCACCGCCACTATTTGATACCAGAAGCTTTTCAAAATGCTCCTTCCATATCCTCAACACGCTGTCTGTATCTGTCACCAGGTTTCTTTCTTCATCTCTACAGGAGGATGTGCCGGCACCAAAACCTTCGGTTTGGTGTTTTACTCCGACTCAGGACTTCATTCTGAATTCTGTACATCTCGATTTGTTCACGCTCACGTTTTTCTTATTCTTTCTTATTTTTTTCAACACGTTTCTCCTCTCTCCTTTTCTCCCGGTAATTCTCCATCACATTACGTGTTGCTATTGTCTGCAGGGTTGACCTATACACTGCGTTTTACATCTGTAGCATTACGACACTCCTGGTCGTACTATGGTTTTCTTGGTGGTGGTTTTTGGTATCCAAGTACTGCTTTTGCTGCAGTTTGTAGGGAGCGGGAAATTCTTTGCCATTGTGCTTCTATACTATTATCGGGACAAGAAGTGCTTTCGTCAAGCAGGTGGGTAAGTTGTGTTTCCGTGTTGTGTTAGATCGCACCTTTGCTGCAACATCAAGATGAGTGCGAACCTTGGCTGCTACACGGTAGTGGTCCGAATCGATATTCGCTCCTCGGATCGATCGAACGTCTAATACACTGGAAGAATGACTTCCGTCTATCACAACATGATTAATTTGATTTCTCGTTGCTTGATCAGGAGAAATCCAGGTGGCCTTGTGTATATCGATATGCTTGAATCTGGTGCTGCTAACTATCATGCTATTTTGTTGTTATTTTTTCATCATTCATATATAGGCGCGGACATTTTTTTAAGACCTACGGAATTTATTATTTCAAATCACTTCTATCAAAATTTTAAATTTTGTTTCGGATCACCGTGAGGAATTCCCTTGCTTTGCTTAATTGTTATGTGGGGAAGTGTTCAAATTCTTATCAAAGGTCACTGAGAGATTTTTCTTTCTGTACTTCCCCTCCAGATGAGGCTGCTTATCAATTTGCCAAGAATTTTAAAAACGAATACAACTTGAATAAATATAAACAAAAAATTGTGCGAATAAAAATCACAATCCGCTAGACAATCATGAAGGCAAGAGGTATTAAAAATTTTCTATTTTGCGGTTTCTTACTAGCCGTGCTAATCACAAAGATACAGGCCATACCCCAGGATAAATATCATCAAATGGATAATTTTGGGAGAATTTTTATTGATACCGAACAGAAGGTAAAAATTTATTTACATTTATTTTTGGAAGAAATATCTGAAAACTCTGTATTTTTCGATTTACAGTACAACTGGTATCAGGCTTGGAATGAGTGTGCCCTTAGAAACCTAACCTTGATCACTCTGGACACGGCGGCAAAAAGTGCGGCCCTCACCTCTCTATTGAGAACCAAAAAATGTAGGGGAAATATTTTTGAAAAATATATATTTTCAATTTTTTATAATTTAAATTAAATTTGTATTTCTTTTAGTAAAATTCAATTTTTATCTTGGCGGCCACGATTTGGCTGAGGAGGGCCAATTTGTTTGGCCTTTGACGGGAAAACGTTTCGATTTTGCCAACTGGAATTTGGGTAATCCGGATAATTACAAGGATATGGAACATTGTGTCCATATTTGGGAGAACACCGATTACGAATGGAATGATACCCGCTGTGTGAATAAAATGGGTTTCATATGCGAGGAGAATCCATATTTGGCTTTAAGCAGGCGTGATTTGGAATTGAAAAAGGATTTAATAAATCAATTACTTTCATTGTAATTCAAAAGTTTTTTTTTATATTTTTTTAAAGTGGATTTTTTAAAATATTTTTTCGGCAACCTTATAGAGGCGTAGCAATCAACTGAAGAATAATAAAGCAGCAGGTGCCAATGGTTTACAACCCGAACTGTTCAAGACTGGTGGTCAGATGCTGGTAAGGAACATGCACCAGCTGATTAGTACAATTTAGCTAGAAGAATACATGTCCAATGATTGGAACCTCGGCATCCTGTGTCCCGTGCACAACAAATGAGACAAGGCGATATGTGCCAACTATAGAGGAATAAGTCTCCTTCCCATCGCATATAAAGTGCTATCCAGTGTGCTGTGTGAACGACTGAAGCCAATGGTCAATAACATTATTCGATCATACCAATGCGGCTTCAAACCTGACAAATCCACCATTGACTAGTTTTTCACTATGCGCCAGGATTTGGAAATGACCCACGAAAAACACATCGACACATTCCACCTATTCGTCGACTATAAAGCCGCATTCGACAGCCCTATCCGTTCAGAGGTGTTTAAAGTCATGTCTACGTTCGGTATTCCTGCAAAATTAATACGGCTATGCAGGATAACTTTTACTGGCACAAGATCAGCAGTTAAAGTCGGAAAGGACCTCTCGGAGCCCTTTAAAACCGAACGAGAATTCAGACAAGGTGACAGTTTGTCGTGCTGGAAAAGGTCATTCTTGCAAAATTAATATGGCTTTGCAGGATAACTTTGAGTGGCACAAGGTCAGCAGTTAAAGTCCGAAAGGACCTCTCGGAGCCCTTTAATACCGAACGAGGATTCAGACAAGGTGACAGTTTGTCGTGCTGGAAAAGGTCATACGAGAGGCAAAAGTGAACAGAAATGGCACTCTGTACACCAAACAACACGTGTTACTCGCCTACGCCGATGACATCGACATAATGGGTCGAACACTGAGAGCGGTAACATCCACATTTGAACAAATTGAGGAGTCTGCCAAAGTGGGTCTGGCAGTAAACGGTGAGAAGATCAAGCTGATGGTATCAACGCGCAAGACGTCCAGTAGACTCGGACCAACTGCGGAACTTGAGAACTACAGCTTCGAGGTATTCAAAGAGTTTATATACCTTGGTACCGCCATAAACAAAACGAATGACATCAGTTTTGAAATTCGGAAAAGGATAGTGATGGCCGACCGATGCTATTATGGTCTGAGCAAACAACTCAAATGCAAGGCCACCTCCCGCCAAACCAAACTCACACTCTCCAAGACGCTGATCCTACCCGTGCTGTTATATGGATCTGAAGCATGGGTACTTACGCAAGCAGATGAGCCAGCTCTTGGAGTGTTTGAGAGAAAAATTCTCCGAAAGATTTATGGGCCGATCTGCGTTGACGGTGAATATCGCCGTCGAATGAACCATGAGTTGTACCAGCTATTCTCGGACATCGACATTTTTAGACGTATTGAGCTGCCAACGTAGTCGCTGGCCAGGTCATGTTGTGAGAATGGATGAAGATGCCCCAGCCCAGAAGGCATATAAAAGCGAAACAGCTGATGATTCACGGGAAAGGGGAAGGCCAAGAATACGATGGAAAGATCAAGTGGAAGACAACATTGCCAAATATGATCTTTCAAGCTGGAAAAACTGCGCAAACGACCGACGCGCCTGGAAATGTTTTTTAAGTTCGGAAGTTCTGTCACAAGCCAGCTAAGTAAGTAGTATAGAGGCGTGGATTTTTTAGAAATATTTTTTTCGAGGTCCTTATTTAGGCTTGGTTTTTTTTTTAAAATATTTTTTTCAATGATTTAAATTTTTTATTATTTTATGTTTATTAATTTTTCTATCCACTACACCTTTCATAGACTTCATATACCAGATTTTTCATGTGTTGTAATTCCTGTTTTGCTGCTCGCAAATGCAAATTTTCTTCACATATGAACCCCTTCAGTTCACTGCAGGGTGCATCATTCCATTCAAAATCGGAACTTTCCCACAAATTAACACAATGTTCCTGGCCTTGATTGTGACTGGGGTTACCTTTACTCCAATTTGTGAATTCGAAACGTTTTCCCGTCGAGGACCAAACAAAGTGGTCCTCTTGGCCCAAGTCATCGGCACCAATCCATAAATTATGGGATTTTTCTGAAATTAATTTTCATGATGGATTTTAGAATTTTGAAATAAAAAGCCTTGGCTTACCAAATATCCGCTTCAGTAACGAGGTCAATAATTCGCTCTTCTCCGAAGTATCCACCGTGATTAGGGTCATGTTTTTCAGAAGGCATTCATTGCGGGCTTGATACCAATTATACTGGAATTCAAAAGGGATTCGGTTATTATTTTTTTATTTTTAATTCGGAATGGGGTTTTAAATATACTTTATATTCCCTTTCGATAAAAATTGTTTCATTTCCTCCATCCAATTGAAACCATTTTTTCACGGGTATTGTCTGCACCAAAATCCAATTTTGTAGACCAACAAAAATTATGAGCGGAGCTGCAAATCTCATCATCTTATGACGGAGAATATAACTGAAAAATTTTTGCATATTTATTGCAAGTAAACAAAAATAATCAAGGAATATATTTTTAGAATATATTAGGGTGGATTTTTAAAATTTTTTTAATATCCTAACGAGGCGTCGATTTTTTTAAAATATGACCCATATATACTTAGCTGGCTTGTAACAGAACGGTTGTTTCATAAGCCGATCTTAAAACAGATTTCCAAGCGCGTCGGTCTTGTGAGCAAATCCACCAATTTGGAAGACCACGTTCCAAGAGGTTGTTTTATACTTGGTCTTTCCATCTAATTCGTGGCCTTCCCCTTCTACGGGAACCATCAGTAGGCTCGTTTTTATAAGCCTTTTGAGCTGGGGAATTCTCATTCATTCGCACAACATGTAGATGACCCCGTATAAATTGTAAAGCTCGTGGTTCATTCGACGAAGATATTCACCGTCGACGTAGATCGGCCCGTAGATCTTTCGGAGAATTTTTCTTTCAAACACCCCAAGAGCTGCCTCATCTGCTTGCGCATGTACCCATACATCAGATCCATATAATAGCACGGGTAGTATCAGCGTCTTGTAAAGCGTGAGTTTGGTCTGGCGGGAAGTGGCCTTGTTTCTAAACTGCTTATTTAGACCATAGTAGCATCTGTTGGTAATCACAATTCTTCTCCGAATTTCAAAACTGATGTCATTCGTTTTATTTATGGCGGTACCAAGGTATATAAAATCTTTAACTACCTCGATGTTGTAGTTCTGAAGTTCCACAGTTGGTCCGAGTCTACTGGACGTCTTGCGCGTTGATACCATCAGCTTGGACTTCTCGCCGTTTACTGCCAGACCCACTTTGGCAGACTCCTTTTCAATTTGTTCAAAGTTGGCTGTTACCGCTCGCAATGTTCGACCCATTATATCGATGTCATCGGCGTAGGCGATTAACATGTGTTGTTTGGTGTACAGAGTGCCCTTTCTGTTCACCTCTGCGTCTCGTATGAACTTTTCCAGCAGGATGTTTAAAAGATCACACGACAAACTGTCACCTTGTCTGAATCCTCGTTCGGTATTGAAGGGCTCCGATAGGTCCTTTCCGACTTTAACTGCTGACCTTGTGCAACTTAAAGTTATCCTGCATAGCCGTATTAATTTTGCAGGAATACCGAACGCTGACATGGCTTTCAACACCTCTGAACGGATAGGGCTGTCGTATGCGGCTTTATAGTCGACGAATAGATGACACAGTCCATCTATTTTTGTTCGTGGGTATTTTCCAGGATTTGGCGCAGAGTGAAAATCTGGTCAATGGTGAATTTGCCAAGTCTGAAGCCGCACTGGTATGGTCCAATAATGTCATTGATCATTGGCTTCAATCGTTTACACAGCACACTGGATAGCACTTTATATGCGATGGGAAGAAGGCTACTTCGTCTTGTCTCCTTTTTTGTGCACGGGACAGAGGATGCTGAGGTTGCAATCATTGGGCATGCATTCCTCTAGCCAAATTGTACTAATCAGCTGGTACATGCACCTGACCACCAGTCTTGAATAGTTCGGCTGGTAATCCATCGGCTCCTGCTGCTTTATTGTTCTTCAACCGATTAATTGCTTTTATGACCTCATCTTGGCTAGGTGGTATACACTCTATACCATCATCTCTTATTGGTTCTGGGGTATCTTCTTCAACACCACTATTTGATATCAGAAGCTTTTCAAAACGCTCCTCAAAAATCCTGAAAACGCTGTCTGTACCTGTCACCAGGTTTCCTTCTTTATCTCTATAGGAGGATGTGCCTGCACCAAATCCTTCGGTTTGGTATTTTCTCGTTGGTAAATTTTCCTGACTTCATTCTGACTCCTGTACATCTCGATTTGCTCACGCTAATGTTTTTCTTTTCCCATATATAGGTGTGATTTTTTAAAAATATTTTCATGGCCCATATATAAGAGTGAGTTCTTAAAAATATTTTTTACAATAAGTCCTCCCTAATAAACATTTTTGACACTGATTAAGAATTTGTTGTTCATTCCGATAAGAAAGTACAATAAATTATTCAGAATACCACATCGGATTCTTTTAGTTAATTGAACCCGATTTCACTAGGAGCACCAGCGAGCCGAATTATCAACATCTTTAGCACGACTTTAAACATATAGAGGCTAGTATCGGCATGAGCTGTCCTGATATTAATCCAAGGACCTCTTGCAGATCTGACCCAACAAGTGCCACCAAGTTTTTGTTTACCATCACTTCATAATTCCGATGATGTAATTCAAGATCAAGGCCTTGTTGTCAATAAAACAACATTCCCTTTATATTCCAAAAAAATCCCTCACATTATTTATGCATGAGACAGCTGTAGAAACATATATTTGTATTCCAACCCCCTCATTTCCCATTGCCCTCCAAATCCTCCACAATGGCTGCCCTCAGATTACACATTCGAATGTAATTTTCTATTTTTCCCCCGTTGTAAGAAGGGTTTCCAAAACGTCTTTGTAAACATCCCTCATT